CTCGTTGACAACGACGTGCGAGGCCTTTGAAGTGAAACACCCCCCCCCCCAAACTTCCCCCCCTCTCCCTCGTTCCATCCTCTTTACCCTCCCCGCCATCTGACACGCAAATAGGGAGTAGAGTGTAGCTGAGTAATTTATATGCCGCGCACAAGATCATTCCTGTTAGGGCATTAAAAACTTAAATAGTTTTAATTCGCCGCAAATATGCAGGCGTGTTGAACGTGGCAACAATGCGCCAGTTAGCCTTATGCGGCGTATACTTGATGCTAACCGCAAAACGCAACGATTGTCAACAATGTTCAAAAAAGAGAGTGAAAGCGTAGAGAGGAGAGAAGAGGAGAGGAGAAGAGGGGGAGAGAAGAGGGTTCCTGTGATATTAACACAGTGGGTATAAACCAATCCCACCCTCCACGCATACTTCACATTCATAATAATGAAAATCTTGCCCTTTATACCCTTTTCCCAATTTTGGTTTGGAGCGGCAGTTTTCAGTTTATTACTATTCTTATTTATTATTTACAAAATACTAAATTTATTTATTTTTACATGTTTTATTTCATTTATGTGCTTTAAGATGCGACAACTGTTCAGAATGAAAAGGGTTTAAAAATAAATCAAAATAAGTTTAATTCGTTTGCCAATAGATCAGTTAGATAAAACAATCCTTAGTGACTCTGAATGTGGATAAATATAAAAATTCCTCTTCTTTATTTATTATTTCTTTCATCAAAAGAGCTAAGAGTCAACCCCAAAGTTATTTGTTTTGTTATTCAACATTTTATTTGTCTTGTTAGTTTTCTTTAAGTTAACAAAAAACAATTGTTTTTTTCTTTTTTAAGATATGACCTTGACATTTGGAAAGTGTGTAATTGCAGGGTAGCTGTCCATCTGACATTCTAAGTTGGTTTTGCTTTTGTCCAGCGAGCCACAGAAATTTAAATAAAGCTACACAGTAAGAAAGAAGCTGCTGTTTGTTGCGGCTTCATCGAATTGATTTGAGTGGCCGCAGGGGCGGCTGCCAAGAATAACAATAAACATTACTATCTGCTTCATTGGTTATTTGCTTACCACCCAACCCACCCTCCCGCCTTCTCTTCGCTACCCTCCCGGGGTGGCAAACAAGAATAACAGCAGAGCAAAAGCGACGAATTTGAAGAACAGAAATTTTAAAAAGCAGCCGCAGCAAGGCGCAAAGGAAACCAAGAAATACATTTATATATAAATACTGGCAAAAGATGGGTTGGGGTAGGTGTTGGTTGCTTGGGAGGAGGGTGGTGATTGGGTGGCCACGCAACGTCAAGCAAAACGAACAGCAATCGAATCATATCGAAACGGAAACTAATCGATATTTTTGGCCTTTTTCTTAGGCTGCAGTGTTTTATTGCTTGTGCAGTTGACTTCTTCGATTTGTGGCTGCAGCCTAAGCTCTAGGCTGCCCATTGAGGTGAATTTCGTCAGCTGCGTGGTGAGTTTGAAACGTTTGAATACGAAGAGCGCCGACGCGTTGGGCGAGAGCATTAACTCGATAGCACAGTTAAGCACTGTGATACTCCCATACACACACACACACACATGCTGCATGCCTTAGCCAATTATACTGGGAACAGTTGTGGCTCTTATACTCCAGCAGCCAAGTTATGTGCGCGTGTGTTGGTGTTGGGAAGCGGAAACAAAATATGTAAACAAATAGCCATTGATAGTGCTTATCAAGCAGCAGCTGAACAAAAATCCACACACCCGCCGAGAAGTTAGTGATAACTGGGTGTTAGCTGGCCTGACGCTCGTATAATGCGAAGGCGGACGAACGCTTGAGTAATGAGTCGGAATTTCAGAGAGTTAAGCATAATGAACCGCAATTTATATCATTTATAGACAGCAATCAAATTTAAAAGAGTCGCCAGTTTCGGTTAGGTGTTCAACACTAACATTTAACTTGAATGCATTTTAAGTTTACTTACAAAACTAGGTATCATTTTATTATTTTATTTACTTTTGTATTTATTTTTATAAAATACACAAAATATTTGGTATATACATCTTTTTGTTTATTCTTCCAAAACATTCCAAGAATTTCATTAACACTTATAATATTCCACAGTAATATCTTTTGTCATATTAATATTTATGTATTGTTAGCCACAAAACTGAGTTTATTAAAATAAATGAATGGTATTTGTGCTGTGCATTTAGGCGGCAATTATTTTTGGGGCTGTGTCTGTTGCTTTATTTAGTTGCTTAATTTTAATTTGATAACCCGAATTTATTATGCATTTTTACGGCGACATATAAATCACATACCGCAAAGCACTAAAAATAAAAATCAAAATATAACCCAGCTGCGAAAGGGAGAAGGAAAACGAGCACCGCCAAACTCTTTGCAACATTAACAAAAAAAAATATATAAAAAATATAATAAAAACGCACTCAAGAGAGCCTCTCTGCGCTCTCTCTCGCTCTCAGTGCGACGCAGCCGCCACATGTAAATGTATAACAGTTTCCGAGCTGACAAACACGACGACGACAACAACACCGATGACGAAGAGGACAACAACGACGATGAAATCGCAGGCGATTGCCAGCTAAAAGTTGTCGGAGCGTTGCGGCCAAGCAGTCTGAAAGCGTACGCCGTTTACGATAGACACAGCGGGTCGCCCTTTGAATTCACGTTGACGGACGGCGAGTTTTTTGGCGTCGTGCGTCGCTCTGTTCTTCTTCTTCATCTTCGCGAGTTGTTATTGCCGTTTGTTATACAGTTATTCATCCATACTCAATGCATTTACCGTTACACAGTGCTCACAAATTGCCAACAAATTGGGCAATCGCTAAACAAAGCAAACAAAAAAAAGAAAAGAGTGTTGTGAAGCAGCAGCAGAATCTGCCGTCAAAAGTGTTGTTAACAAAATCGACGCAACGTGAAACGTAAGAAAACGACTAACGATACGCGGGTGCCGGGCATCAATCAGCGAGAGTACAAATGTCGTAAACGGTGTTGAGAAACTTGGCGTTTTGCGACCGCACTTCACACGTGAAATCAATTGCCGCAAATTGAGCCACCGAGTTGCGACAACAACAACATGCGGAACATGTGTAAATGCTAACGAGCGAGTAAGTGCAGAAGAAGAAGATGGGGAGGGAGTAAAAGAAGTGTAACAAAATTTGATTGATTTTGATTGACATGGCACTCAGCTGGGGCCACCCAGTAGAAGCAGTCAAGTGAAAATCAAGCGAGGAAAAAACACAAATTGAAAAGTAAACCAGAAGCAAGAAATGTAAAAATATAACGAGAAACAAATACGCAGACAGACCATGAAAAATACAACAAAAATCCAACAAGAAAATCAAAATACTTTCTATTAAATGAAATCTCGCCTGTCAGCAAGGAAAAAAGTCCATGAATAACACAAAAAGGAAAACCAATAAAAACTTATAACGAATAAAACATGCCCACATAAACCAAGATTGCAATAATAATAAAAATATACAAATATACTAAATATTATATACACACACGTATATATATATATATAAATGGGCGCCGGCTAATCAACTACAACAAAAGCGACAAACAAAAGCGTCGAGCTAAGCAACTTTTCTTGTGATTTTTTTGTTTGTCCCTTTTCCTTTTTGCACACTTGCTTTTTGTTGTTGTTTTCATTGCCTGCCATCATTCCACATGTGCTGTTCTTGTGTGCAAAGTGTGTGTGTGTGTGCTTGTGTGTGTGTGTGACTGCTTGTGTGTGCCCGTCTGTGTGTGTTGCCCATATAAAGAGGATAAAATATTTCCGCATTGATTTTTTCCATACAATGTTCAAATGCGACATCAACAACAAAGTGGATCAACAACAACAGCAACAACAACAACAACTGGACAACCACAACAACAACAACAGTAAAAACAACAATCACAATAACAGCAACTACATCGACTAAAAGTTGAGTGCATCGAAAGTTTTTCGCATTTATTTGCTCTCTCTACGGGTATGTTATTTCTAATTTCTACAGGACATTACGACTTCTAATAGTCCTTTTCCGTCTCTCCTAGTCTTTTCTCTCCATCTCTTTCTCTCTCAACAATATTTGATGTGAGAATTGCGAACTGTTTGTTATGTTCAAACTTTTGGATAATGTTATATATGTATATATATATTTATAGATATGTATTGGTATAGATGTATGTCTAATTGTTGTAAATGCTTGTAAATTATGATTTTGGGTTTATTGAAAACATTTTTAGTTTACTCAACTTTGAACTGCGGCTTAAGTTCAGCTGACTCAAACAGTGCAGAAAGATTAAAGTAATAATGAATGAATATTATGACAGCTTTTCACAATTATTCTGCTTTGTTCACTCTTCACACGATTCGCTGACAGTTTCAGCAAATTAACCCTTTGAACTCTTCGAATGCCATTAGATTATTGCTTTCATGTTTTATTATGCATCAAATGATTGAATGGTAGAAGTTGTGTTAATTTATTTGTAAATATCCAGCTTGAATAAAGTAACAGATTTATTTTTAACAGTCTTACTAAGTGCTGCAAAATATTTTTGTGATAAGTGTTTGATTTATTTCTATGTACTTTTGGTAATTCAATTTACAACTATACAAATTAATTTGACCCATTATTGTGTTTTCAACACAGAGAATTCAGCATTGCGTTTATCTCTAATTGGTAGTTTTACAAATACATTTTGGGGTCAGAGCACAAAGCATACTAAAAATATTTCGACCTACCTCAGCAAGGAAATTCAACACCCCCTCCACCACTTCACCCCATCGGAAAGTTTAAATTCGTGCTCCAACCCACAAACACAAACACAAACCCTTTTCATAGCCATTTTAATTAACAAAAAGCCAACACACACATAAAATGCCAACCTAAAAAAAGAAAAAAAAGAAGAAAAAAATTCAGAAATAAAAGAAACGAAAATAAGTTGCACAGTTTTAAATGTTTGTGTTGCGGCTGCTTAAATTTAAAAGTGAAGTGGCCAAAAGATCAACCACAACAAAAGCGGAAAAGGATGCGGTGGATAGAGTGAACTGAAGTGCTCCTTGCAGCCGAAACGGTAAACAGCTAGAGAGGAGGATAACCGGTAACGAGTAACCAGTATCCAGTTACCGGTAAACGTTAACCGTTAACCGGCACCTGTAAATATTTGGAAGCCCACAGGAAACTTATGCACGTAAGAAAGAAAGCAAAGCGTGAGACAAACAAATTTCGCATTTCCCAGAAGCATTGGCTTTTCAGCATTGGCTGACGACGTGCAAATGAGAAAATTTATTATTTAACATTAATTAAGGCTTATTATGCACATTATCAACACAGAGCCACACACACACATACATAGAGGCACAGAACAACCGCACAACACAAAGTCAACCACACACACACACACACATACAGAGAGAGAGAGAAATATGTGGGTGGTCGAGCAACTATCAGCCGCACTTTGAGAATGGAAACTCGCACACCTAGACGGAAAGGGGAAATAAAAACACAACATGCTCATAATTCAGCTGGTGGTAGGGGGAAGGGGGGAGGCGTAGTAAGAGGCCCAGGCCCAGGAAGTGGCAAGGGAAATAGCAGTTTGGGGGAGGGGGGACGTGATGACAAGGAGGCTGTTTAAATTATTCAGTAAATTGTTAAGTAAATAACACGAGAAGCGCACGTTAAAAAGGCAACCAAAACCAACAATAACAATGCCAGCAAACACAACCAAAATGGCGTCTCATCCTCGTTGTCGCCAGCCGTAGAAAACGTTGACTCTCATATGGAAAAGCAGCAAGGTGATGATGATGGGCAGACAGCTACGATGATGCCAGTTGACGCCCTTGACGCTTATGACAATGATGATGATGATGATGATCACGATAATGATGTTCATGGTGATGATGATGACACGCCGTTCACGGCTCAGTGGTGGTGTTGCCGGCAAAATGTACTCTCACAATAAAATCAACACAAAATGTGTCTGACTACGAGGGAGGGGGATGTGAAGTGCGAATCGGTGGGTGGCCTGCCTTTGGGGTCCCAAGGTGTGTGTGCCCGCCCGACTAAAGACTGCTAACTAACTGAGTAGTTGGCCAACTTGCTGAAAACAGCTGAATTGTTGACGTGCGTGGGACAGCTGCGGAAGCTGTGCATATTTTTGGTGAAAATGGTGAAAACTATGCCGGAAACGGAAGCAGCCATCACGGTTGAGACTCAAACTTGGCAAGCCATGCTCGGTTAACCAAGTTAACATTTTACTATCAATGCTGAGCTTAAAATAACAGTAACCAGCAGTCACTTTCGCATAGCAAGTAACGAGTGTTCCTTTCTTGTAGGTCTTCTTACAAGAGCATTGACTGAGCAACTTGTGTTGCTTTATGATTTCTTCAAGCTCATTATTCAACAAAAGTTCAAAATAGCATTGAGTGAAAGAACGATATGAGCTAGGAGTGCTGCACAATGTTTGGATATTAGGTTCAGGTAATTTAGTTACGGTTATTTCAATTTCAGTTAGTTCGGTTGCATAAGCAGTTCCCTGGGAAATGCAATTTTTATTCAAATAAAAGTCGATTACATTTTTTTCAGCAGCTAGTAGTCTTTTGAAATGCAAATATTTTTTATAAATATACCAGCAAATATTTTTAAACACTTTTCTTTTTCATTTTTTGCAAGGTTTATCCTAAAAAGTATTTACGCTGCAATATTTTGGAAATTTTGTACATTTTTGCAATACCCTAGAGTGAATAATCCACAAAAATGGAATAAATTGGAACTTAAAAAAAAAATTCAAAATAAATAAAAGTTGAACATTCAAAAATATTGTATATTCTTGCCATAAAACAGTTGATTCTATAATTTACATAGATGTTGCAAAAGTTTCAAACGCCAATTATATAAAAATACAAAAAACTTTGCTTTAACAATATTTTTATTTAAAATTATTTGTGTAATATTTACAAAGCGCATAAAAAACAGAAAGAGTTTTGAATAAAAAAATACTTGAATTTACAAATAGTCTAAATACAAGCTAAAACAAGAACCTCAAATAAAAGTTTTTGAATTATTTACTGAACCAAGAACTAAGTTAGTTGATGTGATTCTAAATAATAAAATGAGATATGTAATATAGAAATTAGATAAACATATATTCATAACTATAATATTCAGTTCTCAAAACTTGCATTGTTTGTTGGATGCATTAAAGGAAACGTAAATGTTAATGTACAATTATTTGCAGCTAGTCTTGATCCTTGGGTCCTTGGTCTTGGAAAGCATTTAAAATTTGAATATAGAGTGTATGTATATAAGCAAATACTGCTGCTTTTAGACAGACATGTCCATTTATTGGAGTGTCTTTACAAGCTTACCTCCCCGGCAAATGACATGCAGGATGAACAGAGATTGCCCGGCCACTTGCTGGGCCACACCCTTTTTGAGAAACGATCTAATTTTATGGCCGAGACAGTACCGTGGCAGTGTTGCAAAATGTTGAACGCCATAATTTATGCGGGCGGCTTGCTTGTGCTACCAGCCAAAAATGTTTGCATAAACTACTTATACTATGCAAAAATATGCTATGGACACACCGACGCAGCCAACGCATTCAGATTTACCAAGTAGTCGTGGGATATGTTGTGCCACATGTGTTTGCGTGCCTGTGGCACACTGTGCAGACCCGGACAGCCAACTTGCCCCCGGGCACATTAACCAAAATTGATTTTCGATTTATTATCCCCCGCCGCCATTGGGTTCCTGGTCTGTTGCTATTTCTTTAGCCACTCTCCATTGGATCTTGGCTCTGGCGAGTTTGTGGCGCCGCACGTTTTCTGGGTTAATATTCTAAAATATCAAGAAGTAGAAGCAGCAGAAGTAGAAGAAGTAGCAGCAGCAGCAGCAGCAGCAGCAGCATTAGAAAATGAAGCAATTTGTTTTTGCGCATTTTTTAGCTGTTTCTGGTCTTATTTTGTTGTTGTCAGTTTTGCTGCTGTTGGGCAAAGTTTGATTAGTTTGTTTTGCATGTGTGCGTGCTTTGTACTCGAGTGCGAGTTCTGTGTGTGTGTGTGTGTGTGGGGGGGAGGGTCTAATGTTATTAATGTTTTTATATAAGCTTGTCTGGGGCTTATCGAAGCCACCATTCGGTCTCTCAGCGCCTGTTCTATTTCCAGCTTTAGCAAAATATTTGCTCAACTTTTTGGCTGGCTTTTGCAAAGTTTGCCCAGGCATATTCCGTGTGTGTGTGTGTGTGTGTGTCTGGGTGTGTGCGTGCGTGTGTGTGTGTGTGTGTGTGTTACATTGAGTGCAGTTCACATTACACTTGCGCAGCATTCAGCGGCGGCTAATGGAGCAACCATAAATATGACGCTCTTTGCCATTTCTGGCCTTTCAGCAATGCAGCAGCAGCTGCGCTTTGATGGGTTGCGAGTGGGCTGAAAGCTGAAGAGTCGCAAAGTGTTTGGCTTTCATTTTACATTGGGGTTTGCTAATTGGCAAATAGATACGCTGCAAATCACTGAAATTTGTTGCACATTTTCGCTGAGTGACAACGGATAAGCCCTGTGGCCCAGCATGCAACATTTTCATAGTGGGCTTTAATTGCGTTAATTCATCAGATAATTGCTGTGTACAGTTGTGTGCTTTAAAGTTCAGTAAAGTTTGTTTACATAGCAGTAGTAAAAGTAGTTAAAAGTGTTCACTCATTATGTTTATATGCAATCGTCTGGGTTAACATACAAATTAAATATTTCAACCAAATTAAAATTGAAAAAAAGGTTTATATGTTAATCAAAAGTATTGCAGTTTTATATAAACACCGTTTTATTGGCAATTGAAATAATGTTATAAGTTCTTAAAAGTGTAAATTTACATACAAATTAATAAAGTTCATTTAAGGATAGACAACTAACAATTAAGAGTCAAATATAAGATTGTTGTTACATAATTTTTAAATAGATATATTTTTTATATTTTCTCTTTTTTTGATATTCTTTAATATGATTATTTAATTATATAAATTGTGGGCTATCTTACGAATGAATGCCAGATTTCGTTTGTTTTATTTTACAATTTAATTGAAATACAAATATTATGTTCATTATTCCTAGGCACCTAAAATGATTTTTTTTTGCTTAATGTGGTTAATGTTTGAAGGGTTTCTTTTTGAACAATAATTACAAATGAATTTGCATTTGCCTCTCAAATCGTTTGCACATTCAATTTTTTGCCATTTGCCTTGCAAAAGCGGACTCCCAACGGGCTCAATCAACGCTGCTAGCCACATCCTTGCCCACATCCTGGTCGGCCTCAAGCTGACCATGACGAAAATAAATGGCCGTGCAAAATGCCAAACAAATCAGTCGCAATTACGCGTCGCAGTGCTCTAGAGTAAGTGAATCAGAGACAGATGCAGAGAAGAGAGAGAGTGAGACAGAGAAAGATGGAGAGAACGAAAGAGAGAAGGCGAGTGAGAGTGTACAAAACGAGGGCAACTGGCCAAGGGCGAAGAATGCTACTGCTGCTGGGGCCATCGAACAAATGTAAAACATTAAATAATTTCATTTTCTTTGGCGTAATGCGCCGCAATGAGCCACCAGCTCAATCAGAAAGTTAAGCAAACAAATTGCAAAATGAAAACAAGCAGCAAAAAGCTGAATTTTTACTTTCAACAACAACACAAAAACAGGAACAACAAGAACAACAATCGCATGAGCCAGAAGAATATTGAGAACAATACATACAAGGGCTTACTTACTCCATTCTGAGGCACCGAAAGCAATTTCCGTTCGTTAAACCTACATTTCGAAATTAAATTTCTTACACTTGAAAAGTTCGCCGCTTCAATATTGTGAGGCGTTTTTCATTTTGCCTCCGCGGCGGCAGCAGCGCAATTATGCTGCTGCTGCCTGTGTGGGGCAAGACCCCGGCGAGCTACAGGGCGAGGCGGCATTTAAGGCACACACCACAGCCCGCACCACACCACATAACCACACCACACACCCACCACACCCCCACCACCGCCTGAACCCACAGCAACCTCTGGGAAGTGAGCTGTAATACGCGGCGTTGCCTTTAAAAGTTTGCGAGTAGCAGGCCGAACAAAAAAAAATCATTAAAAAATATTTACAAGCTGGAAAAAATACATGAAAATATTATGTATACAAATACAGTACCCTCGCTCCCCTCCCCACCCCCCGCAAACCCCAAAAACCCTATATATCCATCCACTCATTACGACCTTCGATCCTGTTTCTCGCCGAGCAGCTGGAAAAGTTCGACATTTTGTTTGCGCTGCGGTTGCCAAACCTCTCATTTTTCTCCCCTCTGCCACGATTTTGTTTTTTATTTTTTTGTTTTGTTTTTTTTTTTTGGGAAAATTGCTGAGTATTAAATATCTATTGAGTAGAATATTGTGGCAGAAATTGAGGCACGTTGACTGCTCGGAAAATGTTGCTTGTTCTTCATTATGTTTTGAGCGCTTCACATTTTTAAATCGCTGCTCCAGCGAATATTTTCTTGGGGACTTAATTGAGGTATTATTCGTGTCAGCGATTGGTGAGCGTCTTTCCGTTCATCTGGCAGATATCTCGAGTGGCCTTCTGAATACACTTTTTCCTAGTCGGCTTCCATGTCACATACCACACGCACATATACATACACATGCATAGATACGCACCCAATCCTATCTAACTCATATAATCTGCTTAATTTATATGAAACCAAAAATTCCGTTTTCTTTTCTCTATTTTTTTTGTGCTCCCGAAAATGGCAGAAGATAAGCCCAACAACAAGCCGGAGTAACAAAATAGAAATGAGACATGAAAATTAGAATAAAAGGGCATCGTTGTCGGACCGAAGTCGAGACCGTCAATAAAATCTTTTTTTTTTTTATATATTTTATTTGCATGCTCTGGGCGAGGACACGCCGGACGTTTGAGAATTATTGCCCCCGGCGACAGGGTCGGTAATAAAATTGATATAATGTGTAAGCAATGTGATGGTGTTGTAGGGCAAATACCTTACATCATAGGCATTTGCTCAAATACATTATGTATGAGTTATTTTTAAGAGTGCCGGCTGAGTTTTTGACACTCGAGTAGGTAATTCAGGAACTTGAATTCCACTTCCTGGGAGTGGGGAGCAGATTAACTTGCGCTGTTTTGAAGTGAGCCAAAGAAACTCTTATATTACAATTCAAATGTCGTACTAGTTCTTGCCTGAGTTCTCGCTCGTCCTGCGAAGCCATTAAATAGAATAGTTAATTTTATTGTTTTGTCGCTGCCGTGTCCTTGTGCCCAAAATACGTCACACAGAGGGTCAACCTCGCAGAAAAAGAGAGAGAGGGAGAGAGAGAGAGAGAGAGACGTGCATATTTTAAGACTTAGCAACAAATTAAAATTCCGTGAGCAGCCCGAGAACATATTTGCATATTGTTCATTTAACTTTTTAAAAATTTAAGCTCGACTGTTTTGTTTTTTTTTGCTTGATTGTCTTTTTTCTTTTATATTTTTGTATGAAAAGGAGTTCGGAAAGCAAAAAGTTATAAACATTCCTAATATATAAAAACCCTTTTTCCTGTTTTGCATTTTTTCATTGCAGGTTACAGAGGACGACTAAGCCAAGTCTGATTAAACCGATAAAGGTATGTCTGAAGTTTTTCACAGCAACGCGAAATTTGCAAGTTGAAAATGATACTCTGTAAAATGCTGATCTATATTTAGCAAAGAATTACCTAAAAATGGATTTAATACCAACAGCTGTGTGTGTGATTTGTTCTTTAAGTTTTATGTATTATTATTTTATGCCTTTAATTTTTTACGATTGACAGTCGAAGGGATGAAAACCTTTTTCTGCAAAATGTTGTACGGACCGTTTTATTGTTTGTGTTTTATGCAAATAGCATTAAATATGCAAATCAGAAGCTGCGTTGCAGCTTTGAAGTTACTTTTAATTTTTGGGCTTTTTACATTGTTGTTACTGGCAGAGTCTGTTTTATTTGGGCTTGTCATGTTTGTTTTTACCTGGCCTGTTACGCTCAGGCACAATTCATTTATTCAATTATTTATGCATGCATATGTGCAGAGCCAAATAACCGTTCGTCAAAGTTGTCTGCCATATTTCATTGAGATTTTAAAATAATATTTATGCACTTGCCAAACAGAATTTCGATTTTGGTTTATTAACTCAACGATAACGACCATGGGGAAATTGTGTTGGGGTAAAAAGCGTTGACCATGTAAAAGGTGCACTGACAAATGGCCGGCACAATAAAAACCATTTTGATTTATGAACAGCTTAAACATTGCTGCCATGTTTACTCCACAATTGTGGCCATATAAAATGGCGCAGACTTTTTGTCAACGCTCCTGACAACCAACTGGGCAAAGCTGTGTCCGCTTCCCCTCCATCCCCCCTATACAAAAAAAAGCCGCTTCAGTTGCGTGCTGGCGGCCAGCAGGTGCTTTAATGTGGCCACAATTTGATGCAGATAGCATTTGCCACAACAGTGGCAATAAAAACCAGCTTAAAATGATTTGCGGCAAAGTTGTTTTTACTTTGATTCACTTAACCTGGCGGACCTAGCAACATGTGACGGCATCTAGAATAAGGTCGCAAAATGACCAGCTCAAGCTTACGCAATTTCGCTGCTTCTTTGAGGAAGTTAATTAATTTTTAAAATCGAATGTGGGTGGAAGTCGACAGGTACTTCACAATACATGGCTTGTTCTCAGTATTTTACTGATTAGGTATGCCTTATTAAATTCTTTATCACTTGGCGGATTTAGACTGCGTATTTTATGCTTCGTGAAAAACTTTATGAAATACATTATTGTATTAAAACTTGAGGAAATCTTTTTATGTACTTGCTGTGTAATCCTATTTACCATCTTCTCTCTCTCTCTTTCAATAATATAATTTATATTTTGTGAATTCTAAAAATAGAAATAGAAATTGAGGGCAAGTCTAACGTCCTTATTATTTTGTTGATTAGCTATTCTTGATTAAATTATTTATTACTTGTCGGATTTATTCTGCGTATTTTTTTTATTTGCCTCATGAAAACTTTACAAAACACATTATCGAAATATATTTGTACAACCCTATCTAGCATCTGCTCTCTTTCTCCTTAGTGTGTATCTTTATCTTTTGCTTTCTTTCCGGCCTTCAGAAATTAAATATAATTTTTCAACTACCTTATTGTTGTGCGACAGCAACATCAAATTAAGCTGGTTGCTTAGGTTAAAAAGTGTGTGTGTCCCATACAAGTGAATAGGAACATTGTAATTTATTTTGAATGAACAAAAACTCAAGGTCTTAACTGCGTCGCAAGCGGGGCCAAAAAATTAATTATCGTCGGCAAACAGCAGAAAAGAGAAAAATCATTGCTGCCACATTCTCCTTCTATGTTTTTGTTCTATGTATGTTGTATGTAAGCCGGCCGCGTATTTCATTACTGGCGGCGGCACTTGAGCGTTGTAAAGCTAAAAGTAAATTGCTTATTAAAAAGCAGCCTCAGCATTTACACACACAGACACATCACACACACACACACACACCGAGCTCCATAGACACAGAGAGCCTGTGAATGGGAGTGAGCCACTCATTTACACTTCAAGTGGCAGCAAAAGCGAGAATTAAGTGAGTAGGAGCTGCAGACAACACATGAGGGTGCGTTGAGGGGTGGGGTTAGGGTGAGGGGAATGGGAATGGGAAATGGGAAATGAGAGAGGAGGTGGAGAGAAACTTGCTAGAGGTAATGACAAAGCGGCAGCATTGGAGCTGGAGCTGAAGCTGAAGTTGTAGCTGTTGCTATTGCTGTTGCTGGCAGGATCTTTGTTAGAGCGCGCAAAGGTCCTTGAAGCAATCGACTTAATGCTCAGTCTGTTGTGTATTTAGTTTGCATTTACATTACACACGCTCACACACACACACACACACACACACACACACACATATAGCACAAGGACAAGCCACACACACATGACTGCTTGGATGAGCCCCTCTGGAGGGGTGCACATTTAATTTTCTACACATTGTGCCATGTCCTGATAGATTAACTGGGTATCGGTTGCCTGGCTGCCTAGCTGCCTGCCTCTGCCTGTGTGTGTGCCAAAATAAATTTTGTCCTTGTTCCACACACACACACATACACACACACGCACACATACGCACTTAACGCTGCTACTTGATTGGATAGCTGGCTGGTTGGGCTGTACAGTTCGAAAGTCAAGGTAGCTACTAGTGAGTGTCTGTGTTCCGAGTGTGGTTTTGGGTTTTGGGTGGTGCTTTTGGATATCCTGCACGCTTCAATGAATTTTTCGTCAACGTGATTCGCATTAGAATGTGTATTCAAATGAGCACATAATTTGTTTGTTTGTCTGTGTGCAGTTAGATATGCATAAATATCGGCTAGCACCAAGGCGCTGAGCTGTTTGCAATTTTATGATTGCAATTATGTTGGTAGCGGTCGGAGTTGGGATAGCTGAGAGGTGGGCTGAGTGTGTGTATACGGTTGCGATTGTGGGTGGCTTGGGCGTGTCTGTGAGTGCTTTTGATATAAATTTCAAACAAATTGCAAATAAATTGGAGTTGTCTTGGCGTCACCATTGTCAACCCCCAGACTCTCTTGTGAGGCGGCCCCACAAGTTATTTAAAATATGTAAATTTCTTGTAGCTCATAGTCAGCCACCGGTCTACCACTCCCCTTCTCTCACTCTCCCTCTCTCTCTCTCTTAACAGCACTTACAACCACATACACACCCACACACACAGACACACACATTTGTGTTTAACAACCCCACAGCTTTTATTGCTTAGCGCTTTGTGTGTGTGTGTGTGTGTGTGTCGCCAGTTTAAAGACCATTTTCAACGCTGCGGCTTCTCGGGGCCAAGTCGTTGAGTCGCTTAAGAGCACAAGTTCGGCTATATCCCCTGACATTTAATTTACTTAAGTTCACTAAGCCGCCGCCTGGCAAGCCAAAAACCAATCGCATGCTGCGTCTGCTGATTGAACATTGTCTGTGTACTTAATTAAATATATATATAAATATTTAGATATACTCGTATATATATATATATATATTTATATGGAAAGCCATACGTTGAACTCTGATCTGAGCATTTTTTGCGGTTTCGTTTGAAGTGAATTGATTTTATGTATCAGTGGCAATTATTTTGCTTATTTCATTCACATTCCAGTTTACATTTACTGACGGACATGCGTCCATTGCAGCATTGTAATGTTGCCAAGCGGAAGCAATAAATATGAATCGCTTCGAGTGTTTATGAATGCCTGCTAGTGAATGCAAATATATACAGCCAGGAATGACACAAAAAATGCATTTTATTGTTGAAGCTTAACAAATATAGTTACGAGTAATTTTTCACTCATCCGTCATCTCCATTTCAATGAATAAATTTATTTCTCACAGCAATTGCATCTGCTGGTCACACAAGAAATGTACATATATGCATATTGGGGTTTAAAAGCAATTTATATCAAATATATTTTAGTAATATTCAAACTATATTTGTATTTTTGTGTTTTAGTTTTTAAATAATTTTTATTGTGAGTTCTCTACATTTTTATTTGCTGCTCCAAATTTCACTTTGTAGAGGTTTTACCTGCAGCACAGCATTTATTTACCACCTAACAAACTAAAAATAAAATTTTAATTGAAATACCAAGAGAACTGTGAAAATAAAACAGCTAAAAATTGTAAAAACTACCGCATAGGGCATATTTGCGTGACACTGTTGCAAATTGATAATTTTGACTTTATTTTGAACTCTTTAAACTATTTTGTGCAATCTGATTTCTGATTAGAGCAGGATGCTATATAAAAACGCTCGATGAGAGGCAAAAATAAATGAGAGCTCAATTTTGGTATTTACTCAATTGCTAGAATGGGCACCATCATCATCCATCCACCCCCTTACCACCGGCTTGAATGACAGTCTGTTTTATTTTCGCGCATTTGCTGTTTATATAAAACAATAATAATAAATTTTGTGGCAATTTAGAAGACGGCAACATTGTGACGTCGACGTTGACGCCGTTGCCATTGAGCCTTTTGTTGCCATTGAGGCTTTGACTTTGACTATTCGCAGCCCAAATTTGTATCCCCGTCCCCGTCTACGTCCCTGCCACAGTTCCAGTTCCAGTCCCAGGGCCCGGAGACGCCTTCAATTTCGTTTAGCCTGCGGCTTCAGTTGTGTATTGTAAACTTTCGACATTTGTGTTTCTGTTTCTGTATCTATTTGTATTTGTGTTTCTGTTTGTGGAAAAGTTTTCCTTTTTTGCCTTGAATTTATTTGTTTGTTTTGCCAGCCGAGAGCGAATTATTTTGTTGGGACCATTGAATCACTTGCTAGACAGCGGTAATTATGTAACCGTATAATAGCAGAATTTTCGATTATCAACAATTCTTCTTATTAAATTTACAAATAGAACGTGTTCTCGCTATACATGTGTTTTTTTTTTAGTCTGTGCTTAAAGAGCATGATACGCTTCTTTTTCGTGTTTTTTTTTTTTTGTTTTCGTAGTGCCTTTTCTTTTTTCACGCCCAACCCCATCCACTAATTTTCCAACATTGATGGGCATTCGAGACGATTGAGATTGAGGCAAAAGATGCTGAGGCA